GACCACGGGATAATAATAAAGACACTTTTACGAGATGTGTTTATAGTTTGATATCAGGATCCGCAAAAAATATAGGTACTTAATAAGACGTAAATTAATTTATTTTCAAGGAGATGATGCATGGTATTTATACCTGGCACTGCTCAAGTACAGATATCATGAACCCTCCGAACTGCTACTCATAAGTTGGAATTGTATTTGATATCGCAATTAAATAGGATGATTCTGCGTCGAATTGAAAAATGGATCGAAGCCTTTCACATTGTTAGCAAATAAACACAGAAAATGAAACAATGTACCTAATACTCGAAATACTTCCATATCCGCCGTAATCCTCGTCTCTCCATACCCAGCTCTAGGAAAACTGGAGCATATTTGCCGCCTCATAGATCGCCTTTGCAACGTTGTCTACAGTCATAGGAAAATCAACGAGCCTTCTTGTCCAAACACGCCCATTATTGCTTCAGTAAATCCTTCGATGACTAATTTGGAGGCGCAACAGAAGCTGCTATGAGCAAATGTCAATTCCATGAGGCGGTTCAGTTGAGGACGATGCGGCGCAACGCGCAAATGGGATAGGAACGACCTCGTTACGTCCCTAAGTTCTGAAAATTAGAATAGGACCGACAGAGATATTGATATAACCACGTGCCTTGAGGGCCTCAGATACGCCAACAAGTTCAAAGGCGGTATTGTTGATAAGCCAGTGTACCTTACCGAACCGCTTGATAGTAGCAGCAACGACAGGCAGAGTTGATCAGGACAAGGTCATTCACGTTCAAATATTTGACGGTGAGCAGGTGTGTAGAATCGAGATATATGAGCAGCGTTCTCTGGTACACACGTCGTCGCGACAACATCCCATCCTTCACGATGGAGAGGCGGGCGGTGGCAAGGATCCCTAAAGAAGCTCAATGATAAAATGTCGTTTTCGAGGATACAATAGAATGATAAACGCACACCTACAATGAACTCCTCGCGAGAAACGAGACGCCAGGGTGCAGCTCGTATGACCGTCGACTAGGTTGACCCGCGTTTCGAGCTGAAGGAACGCGCCAGAACTTGTATTCTCATCCTAAGGTATAAACGTACGGAAAGAACGCGGCATAATCAACGATACGGTGACTAATTTGACCTGCCTGAAGAGCAGATACCCCCAGTAGGATGCGCGATGTTGCGGACTCCACAACTCGTACGCGTGCTTGGTCCTCGCTTTCGACTTGAGATGTGATACTGATGAGCCTCAATCGGGGTATCCGTGATGCTGAATTTCTTTGACGATCTGGAGAGCACATGGAGCCTGGGATGCATCGCTAACCTGGAGAACCAGCTAGCATAAGCAGCGTGTGAGACCGGCAGAGATTGACGTACGGGGAGACCATTTGAAAGCTGCAGCGCGTGTCAGATCCTTACTAGGACCGAGATGTATCGATAAAGATAGATGGTGGCTGCTAGTGATCGAGATACGTGAGCGACACAGGTACGGAACAGCAACGTCGATACGCGCCTTAGAGGGGACACAAGTCCCAATCCACGACGTAGATGATTTGTAGTACATGTTGGACGTATACGAAGAGTTTCGAGAGACCTTCCATGCTGTGAAGAACGCGCAGCGGGCTAGATCGTCCTCGCCAGCAAGAACCACGCTAGTAGAGTACGCCCACACGAATCCACTGCTTTCCCTTTTCGGCGTTGGAGCGCTTCCTGTGACCACTTCCCAGCAAAGGATATATATCTTCAATTCAAACTCCATTACTTATAAAAAAAATTCATTCAATGGGATTTATTACTATGTCACATTTACCATAAACTCCAGCAAAAGTGTATGATAACGAGTAATTCAGAATATATTATAGCATTTCTCCAGCCGCGAGAAATACTCTAGTAGACTATTTTATTCGGACGTCTCCTATAGCTAACAGAAAACTCCTAAATATACACTAACATCAGCAATTGAATATGAGCTCAGGTACAAATTGATTAAATCATAATAACTCCAGAAAACTATACCGAGCATCAAACCTTCGGAAAACGTTCAAAGTCTCTTATAAATTGTCATAAACGAAGTTTGAACTGACAGCCTAATCCATCCATTCTTAAATGCTTATTATCCGTATAAGCTCATTCAGTTCAATGTGAGTTAAATTCTGTGACCCCATAAACTCAGAAGAGGACGAAATACAAGGTATTGAGAGCTATCTCCAGCTATGATTAACCGAAAGGGGGGACCTGTGTACATCCATCATTAGCCAACGGCTGGAAAAGGAAATTGAGGTTCGTATTCAAGTTATTCAGGAGAACCCCAGTCGGATTAGGATATAACCCCTTCACGGTGATGTTCACGAAGTCTGTATACAACTTGCAGATGTCGGAGAAATCAGCCGAATTAGGATCAAGTGTAAAGGTATTAATGGCGCCTTGGTTTGCTCCAGGTTCGATGGGATGCGCCGCGAAGACTTCACCTATACCAGCAGCTACAGCTGCCAATCCAGCGGAAGCATTCGTGCGGAAGAACCCAGCTGGCATGGACATGTTCTGGAAGAAACCACGAGCGACGTCCATATTTAATTGACCGTTTGCAACACGACCATCGACAAAGAATATGGTGGGGAAAACAGATTCTGCGTAGGCGGTGAAATAGCGAGGTGAGATGAATGAGAATTGGGGGTTGGTGGCAATGGAATCCTGGATCCGTTGAAAGCGGAATTGACCCCCAACAGTGAGGTTGTAGTTTCCGGCACCAAATTTATTGCTAAATGAGACGAGCTACGGATACTGTATCAGATAAAGTACCCAAAGAGAAATGAATGAAACATACTTCTTGAAAAAGAGTCTCGTTGAAACTGTGGTTATCTCCGAAGAAAGCATCCGCTAATAAACTGTGAATTGGTTGCTTTAAGATCGCACAGAATAGGACGTTACCTCTCGTGGTACTTGCATCACCTGATAATATAATTAGTTGATGAATATATCGATGGGTGAACTATATCACCTACCTTCAAAAACGGCATGTGTATCTAATCCTCCTACAATTGCAGGTGCTGGCGGATTTGGTCCCGTCAACGGTGTCTTCGACCCGATACTGAGGAGGTTCGTGACAAGATTCCCGTCGACTAAGAAGGCAGCATAGGTAACAAAAACAGCCAGGTCGTTCCCCATATTGAATCCTTCAACAATAGGTGAATAACATTCAAATCGTTTCGTATGATCTGATGCCCACCTTCTTGGACGGCATTTACAATTTGAGCCGGTGTTGCAATACCGTTCCGCGGAAGATACTAAAAACATATGAATACAACAAAGAATAATATGACCCGTAATCAATGACAAACCCCATGAGAAGCCAAAGTGTTTAGTCCAGGACAGGGTCCGCGAATATCACCATGCCGCAACGGTAACCATGGATGCGCGGGGTCGTTCACAAGCTTCGCTGAGGTGTCGTTCAAAGGTCCTGGAGGAGGCGGCGGTTTGGCGAGTTTAAGCGTCGGAATAATTTGATCTAATACTTCTCGCGATAATCCTGCCAAAGACTCATGGGCCGGGAACGCGAGCACAGTGCTGGCTAAGACAAAGCCCAGGAGGGCTGCAAACCGCGCCATGGGCAGAAATCAACAACTCACTTGTTCAATATAGTTCTGCCTTATAAATTAATCGTCTCCATGTGCAATATGTGAGAATGATTAGACTGGTATTCTCGGAGCTCCGTGCAAATTGGAATCGAGAATCTATTGATAAGTCCGAAGTCGGCGTACTTACTTTGAAGCACTCCTTGTGAAATATGCACTATGCACACGCATCATTACATAAACAGCCACGTTAGAAGAAACTTCGCAGCTTGAATGGTGTGCCGAAAGACCCGTAGACACCTGCAGAATAGTGCTGTCAGGAAGATGACGGCGAGAAGATGGAAAACTGTGGCAGTAACCGTCACTATCGACGGGCCGGGCTGCGGACGGAAGCGTTAACCAATGGAAAGCCCGTACTCCACAGAGAAACTCCGTGGTGTAAAGGGAAGTATTTTTCGAACTAAAGAAAGGTTCTCACATTATTACTTCGAATAGTAATCTTAATCAAATATGGGAATAGTATAAAAACATTGTGCCCACGGTGAGTCGAACACTGGGCTCCTCGGCCACAACGAGGTGATTTAACCACTAGTGACTAATCGATGGGCACGCGTCCAGGTCGGCTCCACAAATAGTGTATCGAAGCATCAGTAAGAACACTAGGATATCGAGAACTATACTTACTGCAACGATTCCTGATCTATATAGCCTTATCGAATCGTATTTATGCATCTAGACTAATAGAAGTCATTCTTCTCAGATTTATCAGCGAGATGGGATCACGGATCGAAGTCGTAGATGTGATGCAAAGTAAAGACATGGGAACTCACTGAGCGACTTTTAAACGGCTGTAGCGTCTCTGAAATGCAATTGATATATGTACGCATCCCAATAAATATAATTGTCTCTCTTACCTTCGACCGTTTAAGATCGAACCAGCCTGTTTCTCTGAATATGCCCAATCAGCTATAAGACGAGAGTAAAACGAACTTTATAATACCTGACTTAATTAAAACCAATTTAAAACAGTTCGACGGTACGACTTCTCTTTTCTTGTTCTCAGCGTAATTACTCGTACATGGCAGAATGTGGACTAGAACAAGGTGGCTAAAATTCTCGTCGACGTGTTTATCCTGCTGGTCTACGACGTTATCATCCGGACTCTGTCATTAGGTAGTGATAGTGAGTCTAACAACAACGTAGTAAGAAGGTTTATACTCTTAAGCCCTGTGGTGTCCATTGACTCAAGCTTTCCCCACTGATGAGTCGATGTTTCATTCCGAACCAAATCGTGACTAAAGATTTTGTAGATAAATATCAAGCTGGCATAACCGAATGAAGATATCATATCTGCGAGAACTAGATAGCGCTGCAATATCCCGACCTGATTTGCTTGTAATCCCCTGGAGGAAGGCCAGAGAACGAAAAATAGATGGCGCTTTGCCGCAGTGGTTACCGGGTTCGCCTGCTATTAAGTTGATCAGCGAATGTGCTTTGTACACGTGCGTTTTGATCGCACAGGCGTTGTCTTTTGCCAGTTTTTGTTTTTAAATCTGAAGTTTCCGAGGTCTCAGATACAAAGAGCGGTCACGATGGTTATGATACGATGATCACTAAAGATGATTAATTTTTGAGATAAAGATTCAGATATTTGATTATTGCTACGAGCCTAAAAGTAAAGTACAAGTCGATCAAAGTCAGGATGTCGTGACAGCGTGCAAAATTGTATTTTGTACGTTATAAAACGAATATATCTGGCGAAGAATGAGTTTCGTTAATCCCAGTTTACCCATTTGACTTCTTTAACCAACTTGCACATCTGTATCGATTCTCGAAATGAGTGAATGTGCGAGAATGAGTAAAGAGAACGAACCTTCTTGTGCCTCTTCCAATCGTCTTTCTGACATTCAACACTGTAGAACCATTTCAGCGAAAACAAATAACCAGAAAAAAACGCAACCAAATAATACCCGCAATATCTATAAGAAATATATTATGTCAATCATAATTCATCGACGAAGTCATAAAAATACCACGGACCTAACAAGCTTGCATGCAGAACAGCGCATAAGCGGAAAGTCTGGCTTAGCTGTCTCATCGTCAGCACACGATAAGCAGCTACCAGAAAGGGGATAGTCCATTCCACCAGGCAATCGTGACAGTCGATTCTATCGTCTTAATTTTTGAAATTTTGTCTCAATAAAAATATTATTTCCCAAAAAAGCTTTTTTTGAGAAAAGGTTCAAAACTCTTCTTTGAGCCATTTGGAGCATTTATTCTTTTGAGCCTTCGAAGATTTTGGTCGCTTACATAAGCAATTAGCGCGCGCTTAAAAGGGCGCTGTGGCAGCTTCGCTGGCATCAAGCTCATCAAGATCAGTCCACAACAAACTGATTTTGAAGCTTTCTTCATTCTAAACACTTTTGAGACATCCAAAACTTTCAAGGTTGATGGGTAGATGTAGATATAAATAAAATTCGAAGGTAATAATAATTTTCTTGCCATAATTTGGTTTTTATTTTAATTTTAATTTTATTTTTATGGAGCAATAACAAATCAGTAACAAGTAGCATAGCCACTCTTATAGATTCTGCTTTTATGACTGGTGTTCGCCAGTGGTTCATAGGGGAAGGGGGCATAAAGAGAAGACACATGAAGCATAGGGGGCATAAATCTCCAAACCGGGAAAATGCTAGTTGCGCACTAGGCCAATATTACTCAGCCATTGTGTGGGACTCAAGGATGGCAATTGCCTATGGTGGCTGCCAAACCTTCATACCCACTAAAAACCCGGTGATGTCCTGTGGACGAAGACCACGAATGCTTTCTGTCTGGAGGAGGTGGAACCATGTTTGTTGAACAGAGGAGTATGACAGGGCTTTTTTCCTGTACTTGCCTCGGTTTGTGCTGAGGATGTCGGTGTGTATGCGCTGGGTCAGCGTCTGAATTCAATGATTTCTTATTTCGTGGTGAGTCATTCTAAGGTCGGGGTTCCCTTCGTGTTGGATTTTCCATTCACAATGAATCTTCCAAATTTGAAAAGCAGCTTCTGTAATGAGAATTTTAAAGAGCCGTCTCTTGGCAGAGTCCGGCTTTCCATCTTTGTCTTTATATTGGGCTAGACCACAGCCCAGGATTATTCCTATGTTCAATTCCGGCCATGGTAAGCCAGTTTTGATCCATAGGGTTTTGGCTAGGTCCCAGATTACCCTTTGTCCTGACGAGTTACATTCAAGGAGGATGTGCTCTATTGATTCTATACTGTCGCACTCAAGGCATTCTGCTCGCCGCTCATAGTTGCGAATCTTGAGCCACCAGCTGCCAATTCTCAGGGCGTCGTGAAGGCATTTCCAGAGAAAATTTTGAGTGTTTCAGCTTATGTCCTTATGTCTTATTGAGGTCCATAACGCAGAGTCAGTGGGGCATGACTCAGACCAGTCGTTGACGAGGAGTTTCACTCGTTCTACTAGCAATTCAGTGGTGCGTCTTTTCTTTATCTTCTTGTTTTCAAGTAGAGCTCTATATAGGAGAGATTGTGTGGCATTGGAGAGTTGAATGCCGTAAGTATGTAGGTGTGGGGGAATTGTGAGGTTGAGTAGACTGACAAATTCTCTGTGGGCGCCACGGTTGGCCTCCCTGTCCGCTCCTTCGTTACCAATTATTCCGGAGTGACCCTTCACTTTTTTGAAAGTTGTCCTAGCTGAGCGTTGACGTAGCCACGCAGCCGTGGTTCGTAGGAGGTCTTTGTTTGATACCCCGACCCAGCCTCTCGTCTCAAACTTTGTCGCCCTTCTAAGGTAGGGTGTCCTTTATTCCAACGCTTCAGATTTGCTTCGATTTTCTCTAGGGTGGGTACCCAGATGCTCGCTTGGTCAATTCTATTTCCCACCCATGTTCCTAGTACTCGGACAGGAGTGGAGTCGCTAGCTATGAGGATATTGGCTGGGATAGGGTCTTGATTGATGGTGAGTGCTCTCGTCGTCTGTAGAGCTTCTCGGTAAGCTGGAGTTCCTATAGGTATGATGGCTGTCTTGTCAATGTTAAAGGCTGCTCCAGACGCCATACACCAGTTATTTAGGATATTCTGTAAGTCAGTCCAACTACCTTTATGTGATAGATAGACTGTAGTATCATCAGCAAAAAGCGTGGCTATTAGTCTTTCGTGATCCCCTGGGATGTTATAGCCCTGAAGAGTGGATTGGCGGAGGGCTTCGGCTAGTGACTCAATAGCGATGTTAAAGAGTAGGCAGGAGAGTGGGTCCCCTTGGCGGACACCTCTGCGAACTAGGTAAGGAAGGCTCAGTTCACCGTTCACGACAATGACAGTATTTCCATTGTGGTAAAGGTGTTTTACAGTGTTGATGAAGTGATCTGGGAGGCCAATTTTTTTTAAAGAACGCCAAAGGAAATCATGGCGGATCTTATCGTATGCCTTTTCCTGGTCGAGGCAAACGATAGCTCCATTCGTCTCTGTCACCTCGGCGTGGTTTATGACCATGTGGACGAGTTCGGTCTGGTCAGTTATGTGTCTGTTGGACATGAAACCGGCTTGGTCTCTGTGAATTACTGATGGTGTAAGGATTGCTAAATGTTGGGCTAGAATCCTAGACAGGATACGGTAGTCGCTGTTAAGGATGGTGATAGGTCTATAATTACTTATTTTGGTGCGGTCGCCCTTCTTATAAAGCGGGCACATCCAGCTGATATTGAACGCAGTTTCTGTTTTTATTCCTTGTAGTTCGATATCGTTGAAAACTGTGGTGAGTAAGCCTATGATGTCGAAGGCTGGGCGTTTTTTTTGCACATCAATTTTGTGTCTCTTGACAAGGGCTTTCCAGAATTCGTAGGGAATTCCATCGAGTCCAGCCGCCGTACCATTTGGTAGGGTCTTTATTGAGTCTCTAACCTCCTCTTGGGTGACGGGGAGGCTGGATTCCGGGTGCGTTTCTATAGGGACCACTTTCATGAGTAAGTCGGTCACGTTAGCTATGTTTTTTGATCTATCTAGGCTGCACTCATTGATGTTTATCCCTTTGTCTTGTAGGGAGTCGTGGTATTGTCTGGCTATTTCCGTCATATCCTTTGATTTCCTGATCAGCGGGCTGTTCGCAGGCAGGGAAGGGTCCTTTAATGCCATGATTGGATCCCGAGGTGCTTTTTCTTTATTTAGCTCGAACCAGTATTTGCTGATCGTTTCCCCTTCCAGGATATTGCGCGTCCTGACATTCGATCTTCGCGACTCATGCAATTTACGCTCTAGGTCGCGTAGGCCTAGATAAAAGGTGCTCTTGCGAGACCTACCGCTATCAACGTCCTAAGGAAACAACATGAGCCAGCTATCTTCCATTTCAGGAAGGCTGACCGGCGAGGGATTTTGTCCTCTCGGGCCATATAAGGGAACTATCCTTATATGCCACGGCCCACTCTGTAGTGCACGAAGAACCAATTCGCACCAGAGCTTCCCGTTCCCTTACTGGAGCTTCGTTTGAGTGGATAAAATCAACACTCGCACGGATCCGCATCCATTAAGAGTCCTGTGCCTTGCCACACCGCTGATTTGCGGAACTGCTTTCTGCAGGTGACCTGTGACTAACTACCTTCCTGTGCCAGATGATCCAAAGATCAAACTAGAGGAGGC